ACTTAACAATGGGTATGTCTACACTACCCCGAGGATAGATAATAAGGCAGGAAATATAATGCCACTTTATAAACCCATGGTACTCTCATATCTTGAAAACTGAATGGAGTTCTTGTCATGCCATCTCAGAAAAAGACACATTAGAATTGCAAAATAAAAAAAAAAGAATTCAACAAATAATTTAAGGATATGAAACAGATTCCCTAAGAGGAGTAATTAAAAGAATTAGGACTGTTCATCCTGAAAAGGGACAACAAAGGAGGGCTATGATAGAGGTCTATAAAATCAGAAATGGTGTGGAGAAAGTGAATAAAGAAATATTATTTGCCCCATTCACATAAGAACCAGGGCTTTCCCAATGAAATTAATAGGCAACAGATTTAAAACTAACATATAGAAGTATTTCTTCACACAACCCACAGTCAACCTTATTTCTTGGGAAATTAAATCCAGGATAGTGGTGGGTGAGCTTCAAAAAAATGCCTGGCAACTTCCTATTTGGGTGATTTTTTTCCACCTTGCTTGTACTTCATACTACTAAAGAAAATGGTTTTTTGAAAGACGTTAACAATAGCATAATTTCAAGCAATGTTACTAGTCATAGAGACGTTTAGAATCCCCATGTTAAGGCTAGTAAATGGATTAAATTATATTGCTGCCTAAATTTTATAATAAAATTCAGCACATCCTGTTTAATCGTAACATAAGGAAACATATTTAATAGCAGAGTAAAGTAAATATTCTCACAACTTACAGGTGCTCTCTTGAACACCCACTGGTGCAGATTCACCTTCGTCATATACAGCAACAAGTTGCAAATCATACAGAGTTTGTGAGAGAAGACTAGAAAGAACTGTGCTTGTTTTTGATTTATCAACTTCCACCTAGAAGCAAAAATAAAGGCAGCAGAATTATAAATTGACACATAGTTGAGTTTCTGTCCCTTTAACTGCACATTAGCATATTGTAATCATTGCTACAACAAAAAAAGACCAAGATATTCTGGGATAATTTTGCACTCCTTTGGGGGGTTTAATAAGTTCCTACATTATTGCTCCTGGACTTGAACTCTGGGTGCAAATGGGAGTAGTCATACCTCTGACTACCTGATTTAGGTACAAAACAACTAGTCTGAGCACCAAGTATTGTAACTGGCACCTAGGATTCCCTTCACATCACCAGAATACACAAGGAGCTGAAAGAGGTAATATCGGCGCCATTAGCAATTATGTTAAAAAATCATGGAAGATGGGAGAGATGTTAGAGGACTGGAAAAGGGTGAATACAGGCAGTCCCCGGGTTACGTACAAGATAGGGACTGTAGGTTTGTTCTTAAGTTGAATTTGTATGTAAGTCGGAACTGGTACATATTGTAGGGGAAACTCTAGCCAAACATTTCTCCAGAGCTCAGTTTTATTCTCCCACACCTCACTTCCCTCAGTCCTTTATTCTCAAGCTGAGGTGTCTGCTGAGAAAAGCCGCTCCGCGTCTCCCTGGTCTGCTGGGGGGGGGGCGCTAACTTCGCATCTCCCTGGTCTGCTGGGGGGAAGCAGCTAGTGCGGGGTTGCCTCACCCCGTTTGTAAGTAGGGATCCGATGTAAGTCGGATCCATGTAACCCGGGGACTGCCTGTATAATGACAACCTATAAAAAGGAGAATAAGGACAACCTGAGGAATTACAGACCAGTCAGCATAGATAATGGAGCAAAAAAGTAAGCAATTAACTTGCAAACACCTAGAACATAATAGAGCAAATCAAGAGCAATCATGTTAAACCAACATAATAGCTTTCTTTGTCTAGGTAACAAGCTTATGAATGGAGGTAGTAGATATAGTAAATCTTGACTTTAGAAAGGTTTTTGATACAGTCTCACATGACCTTCTCATAAACAAACTAGAGAGATACAACCTGTATGTAATTACTATAAGATGGGTGAATAACTGGTTGAAAAGTATTTATCAGTAGTTCTCATTCAAGCTGGAATGGCATATCCAGTGAGGTCCTTCAGGGTTCAGTTCTAAGGCCAGTTCTGAACAATATCTGCACCTAATGATTTAGATAATGGCATGAGAGAATACAGTTATAAAGTTTGTGAATGATACCAAGTTGGAAAGGATTGTAAGTGCTATGGAAAATAGCACCAAAATTCAAAATTATCTGGGTAAACTGGAGAAATGGCCTGAAGAAAACAGGATGAAATTAAATATGGACAAATGCAAAGTATTCCACATAGGAGGGATCAATCAGTTGCACACATACAAAATGGGAAATGACAGCCTAGGAAGGAGTACTGCAGAAAGGGATCTGGGACATTAAAGTGGATCATAAGCTAAGTATGAGTCAACAGTGTAGCACTATCTCAACAAAAACCAATATCGTTCTTAGATATAGTAGCAGGAAGGTCGTGAGCAAGAAACAAGAAGTAGTTCTTCCACTCTACTTCATGTTTATTAGAGTATTGTAGAGTATTGTGTGCAATTCTAGGCCATGTATTTCAGGAAAGATGGGCACAAATTGGAGGAGGTCCAGAGAAGAGCAACAAAAATGATTAAAAGTCTAGAAAAAAATGTGGGAAGATTGAAAAAATTAGGTTTGTTGAGTCTTTAGAAAAGAGAACTGAGGGAGAGGATATGATAATCATTTTCAAGTACATAAAAGGTTGGTATAAGAAGGAGGGAGAAAAATTGATCCTATAACTTCTGAGAGTAGGACAAGAAGCTATAGGCTTAAACTGCAGCAAGGCTAATTTAAGTTGGTCATTAGGAAAAAATTTGTCAGGCTGGTTAAGCACTGGAATAAACTTCCTAGAAAGGTTATGGAATTTCCATCATTGGAGATTTTTTAAGAGTTAGATAAACACCCTTCAGGGATTTCTAAATTATATTTATTCCTGTCTAGAGCACAGGGCACTCGACTAGAAGACCTCTTGAGCTTTCTTCCAGTCCTACAATTCTGTGATTACACATGTACAAAAATGCAAATGTAAATGCAAATTGCACATGCAAAAAAGAGTCTCAGCCCTTTTGACCATATAACTTTATTGTCAGGTTTCAAGAAACAACTAAGTAATTAGACTAAGTTATAGTCCCCAGCACAAATATGCACAACCTATGTACCTCTTAGCCCAAATGGCTCTAGAGCTGCAACTGTATGCTGTGCCTCCTGGAAAAACAACATATGTAGCTGCAGTCTAGGCCCACGGGGACAAAAATGGCATTAAGCCACTTCTGTACCCTCTTGACTTTCAGCTGTTCCAAAGGTGGTGTAGCCACACTTAGGAGGCCTGAAGGATTAGATAAGTTACCTCATCCCATATTTGGTTGTTTTTGGGCAGCAGGGTCACACACAGTCGCCAAGCTAGCTGCACAGGAATTTTCCTTTGGCCTGCTCAGGGGCTTTTCCAGTCCCTTTGTGGAACCAAGAGGAGCAGAGAGAATTCCAACTGAAGCTTGTAAAGCTCCCAAGATGTCAGTACCTTTTTAATGATATTGCAGCTGCCAAGAACTGACGTTCTGTGTTTTCACTAGCTGTTTTTAATACTACATGTAGGCTTCTTACAGTAAAACAACCTTCAATTACTTGCTAAAATGCTTTCCACCTACCTCTTTTGGTTCGTCTCCCAAAGTTGTTTTGTATCTCAATATATATTTGCGGACTTTTCCGGGGGCCGTATCCCAAATGACATTCATGCTGCTATGAGTAATGTCTCTAACCCTTAAGCTTTTGGCTCCAGCTAAAGGTACTGTAAAGTAAGAACAATAATTTACAAACTACTATTCTCAAGAAGCAATTAAGGTTCCCAAAGTGGAAAAGAAACTCCTTTCACATTTTTAAGCCAAAAATTTATCAAAGGGAATTCCTGTTTTGGCCATCGGATTAGTCAGTTCAGCAAATTATCCTGCCACTATAGCAACAGAAGTCGTGCACTCTGTTCACGTTGGTGATTTCCAACTTGCTCAATATTGGCTGAAAAAGGGCCAGACCACCTTCTTATAAACATAATTTCAATGCTATTCAAAGGAGGTTGCCTTAATTAGAAAGTCAAGGTAATGCCTTTTAAAATAAACACCATTTCAAATTTGTATATTGTTTTTAAGTAAGTCTTTTAGTGTTCAAATCCTGGTTGCTATATTTAGGTGAACAGTTCCACTGAACTCAATGGTGTGAGTAAAGCAAGTAGAATTTGGCCCTTTGTAGCTATAAGTAACAGTCCAATTTTTCTTTTACCTTTAGCCTTTAATTATTAAAATATTAATTATTTTTTAAAACAGGCATAAGAAGGCTCTCAATAAAATAAATTCACTGTAATCTGCTGTTTGTAATCTGCTAGCCAAAATGCCCTTTCCTTTATCAAGCTTCAAGCAGTTTGGAGGGGAAGCAATATTAATCTTTTTTAATAAGTTCATTTTCAATTAAATTGCCTTTATGACCCTTCAAAATCAAGGCAATGATGAAAATCCTATGCCTAGAGACAAAAATCTACAGAAAGGAACAAAATAAATACCCCTTTTCTCCCACCCACCCACCCCTTACTCTGGCTAAACTAATATGTCACTTAAATATCAACAAAACACTGCAAGAATTCAAGAAGCCCTTACATGTTACTTCCTGTGTGGTGAGAGGGTCGCTGCTGAGATCGCCAAACTCTGCATGAATCGTTAGAGCGTATGCGGTATTGGGGATGAGGTCTACCAGCTGCACATCATTCACTGATGACCCAACACGCATCTGCATGTCAATGTGCTAATATGTCACTTAAATATCAACAAAACACTGCAAGAATTCAAGAAGCCCTTACATGTTACTTCCTGTGTGGTGAGAGGGTCGCTGCTGAGATCGCCAAACTCTGCATGAATCGTTAGAGCGTATGCGGTATTGGGGATGAGGTCTACCAGCTGCACATCATTCACTGATGACCCAACACGCATCTGCATGTCAATGTGTTGAAAAATGAAAAGAGAGCAGAAAGAGAAAAGCAAACAATGATTTAATGAAAAGATAACTTTGTTTCTAAGATGCTACAGTTACAATTTCCGGACTGATATCATTGTATATAAGACTCCAGTCAATGCTCTGCACTTCATAAATATATGCCAGAGTTTTCTTACTATTATGGGATGCCCTTGCAAATCTAACAGTTTTTTGTGAGGACCGAGAAGAGAGACAAGGTACAAGTACAAGTAACTTTGCATACCTCTTTTTCTACAGCTGGTATTGTAGCATTGAGAGGTTCATACAATAACCGGTAACCACTAGCTCCATTGACGGGTTCCCATCTGACTCTCATAGAAGTTGATCCTATGTCATAAGCATTCAGGCTTCTGATTGCAGTGATTGGCACTGTGAAAAATATGAAATTATTCATTTTATTCAATCATGTCTTATTATTTTTCTGCCTATTCCACTGCCTTATAGCATTCCATATCCTCTAGCAGTACTCGTAGGGAATAGGTCTCTTGAGACTAAGGAGGTATATGGTTAGTGAAATCAGGAATCTACAAATTCTGTCATTGTAAATGATGATTAACTTAAAGAATCAGTAACAGCCATATATTTTTTAATATGTCCAGAGATTTTATGTCACACACTAACTTTCAAAATCTTAACATTCCCTTCCTAAAGGACAAAGCTTCATTTTGAAGTTAATATTCTTAAATATTCTAAAATTTGACCTTAACTTATATTAAATGTTGATTAAAGCAACAGTTTGTATTTATTTTCTTTACTCTGTTAGAGTATGTCTACACTACCCTCCTAGTTCGAACTAGGAGGGTAGTGTAGACATACTCTAACAGAGTAAAGAAAATAAATACAAACTGTTGCTTTAATCAACATTTAATATAAGTTAAGGTCAAATTTTAGAATATTTAAGAATATTAACTTCAAAATGAAGCTTTGTCCTTTAGGAAGGGAATGTTAAGATTTTGAAAGTTAGTGTGTGACATAAAATCTCTGGACATATTAAAAAATATATGGCTGTTACTGATTCTTTAAGTTAATCATCATTTACAATGACAGAATTTGTAGATTCCTGATTTCACTAACCATATACCTCCTTAGTCTCAAGAGACCTATTCCCTACGAGTACTGCTAGAGGATATGGAATGCTATAAGGCAGTGGAATAGGCAGAAAAATAATAAGACATGATTGAATAAAATGAATAATTTCATATTTTTCACAGTGCCAATCACTGCAATCAGAAGCCTGAATGCTTATTCTTGCTCTGTAAAAACATTACACAAAACAGTAAAAAAAAATCACCTCAAACTTTAGAGCGAACACATTAATTTGGAATTTATAACCTGTGTAGTGTAGAGCAATCACATAGGACAGAAGCGAATTGTTAATGATCAACATTTTTACATTCTCAGGATGTCACTTTCCTTTAAATCCATTAACCACATACATGCTACTATCAATCATTTGAACAGCTGATAATGGAAACATGAGCTACTCTATGCCTGTAGGCACAAAACTGATGTAATTGCTCTGAACTGGACACACATTAATTCTGCAAAATCAGAGTTAATTTGAGACAACATTTTGGCTGCTTGTAGCAAGAATGATCTGAGTACTAGGGAGATACGTGAGGGTGAATGAAAGCATTTTATTTGACAACTTCTGGACCATATTTCCTGAGTTCATAAATTGTTTCTTGGAAAGTGTCTCCAGGGCTCTGGCCAAAGAATATTAGTGGAGCAGTGTCTTTATGAGTCTAGAAGAAAGACAAAGTCAGGGCACACAATTCTCACCCTGAGATTGTCTCTTCTGGACACAACTTTCCAAGCATGATTACGCGGGTAGCTCAAGGAACAGACTACCATTTTATGTTGTCAAGAAGAATTGCAACAATAAGTGTTCTACTAGAGGATGATCACTGGTGTCAAACCAGTTGTTAAACACACTGGAATTTTAACTTACACGTTGTTTCTATGCCACTTAGAGGTTCGCTGCTTTCATCTTCTACCACAGAGAACACTTTAACAACATATTCTGTTTCAGGTTTCAGGTTTTTCAGAACTGTAGTAGTTTCCGCTCGATTTACATAAAACTACATAAAAATAGAAGCAATGTTAATTTAATTTACCCAAGTCATCTTCAGTTTTGCTGCATATTACCCCTTGCATCAAGGGAGTTACATTATAAATAAATTCACTTCAGAGTCTTCTGCATGTTTAGTCTTTCAGTATTCCGCTCCCATTATGTTTAAAAAAGCAAAGTGTAGGGAGTTAGACAGACATATGTTTTCAGTAAGGCTGCATATGTGCAACAGTGTACAATTTGACTGAAAGGGTTCTCTACTTTCACAGGTGGTATTTATGCGACATATTATCCAGCTAGATGGGAAAATGCTTGGAAATGTAATTCAAACTCTTCCTCCCTGTTTTGAAAATAGAATTTAGACAGAATGGCACCAAGGAATATCGAGACTTGTAGAGCAAATGTGCTAGATGCAGTGATATAAGCAAAAAGGGTCAACCACTAAGAAGCAGAAAGTCTTCAGAATCAAATGCCATTGGACATAAAAGGTATAAAGTCAGCCGCTGTCGGAATAGCATCGCCTGCCCTAACTAAAGGCCAAACCCCAAAGAAAGTGCTAGTTTGGTCTGAGTAACAGCTGAGTTGGGTTTGAGACAGTATTTAGAAGTTTTGCTCCAAGGTGCCACCCTCTGACCTTACCCTAAACACTGTCTCACAACTTGAAGAGCCCACCAGGCCTTTTTTCCTTTTAACAATGGCCCAGAATAATAAGGTGGAATTAAAGGGGCACTATTTCTAGTTGCTGATTATGGTCAGGTGGTTGCCATGAATAGACTTGATTAAAATAGCATATGACCATCGATGTATGAGCCAATGGGAATCATTAGGAAACATCACAGAGCCAAATATCTTCATTGCATTTTTCATCATTTTAAAATATTCAGGATCATCTGTAATATAAATCTCATTTCTGTCAGTTTTTTGATCCACTCAGCAAAAAAAGGCATGTAACTTGCTATTTGTGGCAGTAATATGCCCCTTTTGCAAGGTGCCTCCACACCCTGTTAGACAAGTGTCCTTTCACACTTCACACATAACCAGCATCCTTTCAGATTAACACAAACCTTAAATTAATGCCATGTAGGGATATCACTGGAAACGGCAGCCTGGTCCACTGTGCCGCACCAAAACTCCCTCCCCCCAATCCCACAGGATCCTATTTAAATAGGATTTTACATCCCTAGTACCATGCTAATTTGGCAGAATCTAGATGAGAGAAATGTTGATATGCAAGAGTTTGTGGTTCATATAGAAAAGACCAGAACAGAGGTTTCAAGTACTTACCTGCTGGGATGGGCCTCCAGAAGCAGGGTAATATTCAATCCTGTATCTATCCACGCTCTCTGGAGATGCAGTCCATGTCACTCTGAAAGAACGAGGTGTCACCTCAGAAGTCACCAGATTGGAGGGAGATGACAACCCAGCTACAGTATTGGAACAAATAAAGGGAGATGTTTATTAATGAGGAAGCTCAGCAAGGATGGGAATGAAACTCAGGATAATACACAAGTTCAACTCTTTTGAAAAAAAAATTAACTGCTGCTCTCTGGTGGTATTTCTGAAATGAAGGTTCTCTCCATTAGAAGAGCTCTTCCAATAGCAATGGTGATGATAGTCCACCATCACATCACTACATGGTTCACTGAGCAGTAGCCTCCCTAACAGACCTATACAGGTTCCCTCTCCTTCCTACCCTGCCCTGAACACTAGCATTTCATAGGGAAAACCATCATCTTGAGGGGCTCTTCTTCCATGTTAAGCTTTGATTCTGAGCTGTCAGCCACACAAACTTCATATTTCAACAGTGCACTCCTCTTAAAACTCTTCCTGGGTTGAGTGTCAGCCAATGAAGAATGTGCCCCGTACCTCCCTGCCCACCCCCCCCCCCCCCCCTCCAGGGGAGACACATCAAACATCTTTCTCATGAGCCTGACTCTGGATAGAGGGCAGGCTTAGACAGTCATGCAATGCTAGCTGAGGCAGAACACAGTTGTTATCCAAAGGGAAAGAAAGGCCCATTTGAGGCATCAAGGTGGCCTTCACAGCTTTTTTAACCCTGCAGCTGAAAAAGCAGATTTCCTTGGCAGTTCCCAGGGAGTAAGAGAAAGAGTTTGCAGGCTAAGATATTAAAGTGCATAAACTGGGAGAGAATTAATTCAATTGAAAAAGGAAGACGTACCTGGGCCTTTGACACTATTACACAGATTAACCGTTAAGTCACCAACAATATTAACAAGGAAGGAGAAATCGGCAACGTTGTAAACATGGGTATCATCTGGATCTGTAGCAATTTGCTTCAACTCATTTTCATCCGCATTTTTAATACCTTAAATACATGACACGTAAAGAATATGTAAGTGAAGTGTAATACAACTAAGCCTGGCCCTCAAAAATATTTCTGTTATATTACAATGTTTTGAAACTCATTTCTATATTCAATTTCTATTTATACAGTACTTGCCAATTGCATAAAGTTCCACGTCCTCATCCCTGAGTCTCTTTGAAGGAACCACTATATCATCTTGTGATTTGCCATCAGTGATGAGAACACCGATTTTGCGAGATTTAGCCCTCAATCCAACTGCCGGTTTGAAATTGTCTTTTAGGATGTGACTCAAGGCCATTCCTAATGTGACAACAAGAGGTGACTGGTTAGCATTGAACAAAATATACCATCATGATATATTTCATGTATTTCACTGACCACACCTCTCCTCTTGCTACATTCTTTCAAGGGTCACCCATCATTTTCCATATCAAATTCAAGTGTCTCATCCTCTCCTACCAGGTCCTGCACGACCTTTACCCTTGCCAACATCTTTGGTCCCCATTTTTTCTCCTCTCCCTTTTATGCCCTTCCCTCCTGCCAAAATCCCTACAATATCACCCCTTTTTATCCTCATACTTGTCTTCATGCTTCCAATATGCATGGAATTGCTTTCCCCTCTTTTCATAGGCCAAATTATTTCATCCATCATATTCCTTATATATATCTTGTCACTGGCAGGTGAGATGGAACCTGGGACCTATAGAGCTTAGTGCATAAGTCTCTACTACTGTATGAGCTAAAAAACCATATGACTGGTAACTAAAGCTGTGGAGCAGACTCTTTAATCTCTCTCACTAAGTGCCACTACATGGGACAGAACACCACACCCAGGCGGTGCATAGGTTACACTTATCCGCCCAAATTCTCCTTCATCAAATCCGTCCTTAAAACACACTTCTACTGAGAAGCCTTTCCTTTGCATGATAACCTCAACAAGATTCCCCCCCCAAAAAAAAAAATTCCCCGTCATCAAGATTCCCCCTATCAAGCTTGTGCCATCACTTCCTATATGATAGTATGTCTGAACAGTTTTAGTCATGTCTAAACTAGAGTGGAAGCACCCATATGCATAGGGAATTTTTTTATGATGGAGAATGCTGAGCCCAGAGATAATACTGAGCAGGTGATTTATGTCAATTACTGGAACATACATTTTTAAACATAGCTTAAACAAAACTATGGGAATGTAACATACCTGTTAAAGTATTGCCTCCTTTATATGGTAAGTTGGCCACAGCATCTAGTAAACTCTGTTTGGACCTATGAGTGTTTAGGTGCCATTCTGTTCTGGGATCTCCACTATACTGGGCAAGAGCTGAAAAAGCAGGTATTGTTTGGTTACTACATTTTTGTGGCATAGTTATGTGCCCAGGCCCCTTTTATACCTGCAAGACTTACCAATCTGCACTTTGTCAGGACCTATATCAAAGACTTCAACAATACGAGCAATGAAGTTCCTGACTGTTTTAAAATTTGGCCTCCCGATACTCCATGAGCCATCCACCAGCAACACAATGTCAGCTTCTGCTCTGGTAATACACTCCAAGCCTGCCACACCAATCAGAAAGAAATGTATTATTCCTATGAACCAGCACATGAACTTTACTTTCTTTGGCCTTCTTCTACACTATATGATACACACAGAATTGACTTGCTGACTGAAGTACTTCTAGCATTATCCCCTGATGCTCAGTGACCTATCAATACCAGCTACTGATCCAGTATTCATGAACTATTTTGATGGTTCATTAAATTCATTAACTTCCTCACACACACCTCTCTCCTAGAGAGACCTCTTCTGACATGTCAAAATTAATGAAAATGCTTTTCCCTACTATGATACATTTTATCTATCTTGTTCTTTATTAATAGAAAACAAACTGATTCCAGATTCCTGAGAGAATAAAAGTTTAAGATAATGACTAATCTGGCAGTGGGACAGACCTATATTTTGAATAAACTAAACTCAAAAGTTAAACTAGGTGTGCATTTTCAAATTATCCAGATTTACAGTATTTTAATCTAGAAATCTAGAATTGGGAGCTAAACTAATGTCTTGCCTTCAATTATACACTAGAATAATTAGCATATATAATTAAAATATTCAGGTAAACATCATCACTGAACTTGTAGAGAAATAAAATAAATTAATATAGATGGTGCAGAAGTTTGCACATATAAAACAAGAAAGAAAGAACATAATTTAGAAGAAGATATGCAAACAAATAAACAAGTCAAGAGATATAGAAATGACAAAAACAAACATTTATACAAAGCTGTAATGTTTTGAAAAAGAAGAAAGTTATCTCAGACACCCTCGGTTTACAAACTATGAAATAAAAATATGAATAATTTCAGTTTCATCATATTGAAAATCACAGAACATTTATACAAAACAAAAAAGATACAAGAATTGTAATGATCATATTATCAGTCAATTTGGGGAAAAACATTGGTTCTCTCTCTTTTTTCCTGGAGATTTGAGTTTTACCAGCTGCAAATTTTCTGGCTTCTTGCCATCATAGCTTCTGGTCTTTATATGGATGAAATCCCATTGAGAAAAATCAGCAGTTGCAAGATATTGTGATTTCATCTATGTTCCACATAATTGATCCAGTACTGTAGACTCCTAACTACTCGATGTACCTGAGGGTTTAAAAGCATGATCCTCTTCTGCATAGAAAATATAGATCTAGTCTTTAGTCAGGACAATAAAAATAGTTTGTGGAGTAGAGTTTAAGTAAAATCTTGTTAGATCAAAACTGTGCATGCATATGTTCACCAATGAAGTTTCATGTACCTTTAACAAATTAAACTACTTTGACTTTTATTCCAGCTCCCATAATCCCATACCTGAAAATTCTAGCAACAACACTATATCTTAATTAATTTTTGTTGTTTTAATAAATACACAGGGTACCACAGCATACAAAATTTATTTTCCCAGCTACAAACCTAATTTTTCACAGTAACCATATTAGTCCATGCACTAGTAAAACATCTTATCTTACAGTATGTAACATTGTATGAAGCTGCAGTACTACAAACCATAAATATGCCCAGTGCAATTATTTTTCTGCCAGAATTACTAGTTTCTTTCTTGTTTCACTGGTGGCATGCTGCTGTGTACCTTTCTCAGTTTAACCTTCTAGTATTAGATAGAGTTTCTGGACAAGGTCAGTACATCATTTTACAAACTATATTTCAGGCATACTGCTTTTCTAGTTTCACATAGGTGAACACCTCTTCAAATTCAGCAACCAGTGGATAACATTTGTAATTACAAACAGATTAGGGTTTTCTGCCTACGTATTGCAAAAAAAAAGGGGGAGCTGTGTATTTCAGTATTAGAGGGGTAGCCATGTTAGTCTGAATATGCAAAAGCGGTGAGGAGTCCTGTGGCACCTTATAGACTAACTGAAGTGTTGGAGCATAAGCTTTCGTGGGCAAAGACCCATTTCGTCAGATGCATCTGATGAAGTGGGTCTTTGCCCATGAAAGCTTATACTCCAACACTTCAGTTAGTCTATAAGGTGCCACAGGACTCCTCGCCACTGTGTATTTCAGTTACTGACAATTCAAAAATAGTTTAAAATTTGCTTACTGAACCATATCAACAGCATTTTCTAACTACTGTTGATCAAAGTTATATAAACAAGCATTGGTTTTCCAAAGCATGGTGCTCAAAGAGGGCATTGAATAAAAAAAAAGGAAAAATAGCCTAAGAAACAAAGAATGTATGTTTGACCGAATTTTGCATTTGGCAGCCAAAAAGTAGGTTTTTATCAAATTAATTTCTAAGAGACCTTTGAGGAGGAGTTAGGCTAGACTTCTGGAGTAAAAATTCAAGGCCAACCCCTGTGTTTCTGTGGGGCATTCCAGACTGAAATAGAAAAGAAATGCCATTGTTCGCTCAAGCAGGATACAGAGAAGCAAAGGTCCCTTACAAACATTGTCAATCCTTGCACAAACTGGAGCTCAATTCCATAGGGGCATGAATAGAGGATGGTGTGCAAGATGAGTCAATACAGATATATGGGCCCAAAACCCATACCGGGAGAGAAACTCTTGGTTATTACGTGTCCTATTCCTCAGTCCTGTGCTCAATTCCCTAGAGGTGAAATTCATCCCTGTGCAGATAGCAAATGAAAGGCATATGCCCACTTATGACCTATTTTAAAAATTATATATGGGCTCTTATGATCTATTTTAAGGATTCTTTACGGGCTCCTGTTCAGAGGTGTATTTCACAAGAGGGCAGCATTCTCTGGTCACGCATTAAACCCTGAATGAGTAAATATAGGTATGTATGCCTTCTAAAGACAGTGAACCTGGTCCTGAGAAATCAACACTGCTCAACAGAAGTGATCTTTTAGTAAAAGTGGAGAACAGTATTCATGAATTTGGGCATACTTAAAGATACAGGTTTCATCAAACCCTGTAAATAAATGTTTGTTAGACCAAATTTTTGCTGCATCTTATGATTAAAATGGCAGGGAAATGCTAAAACTATCTGAAACATTAAAAAACAAAGGACAGATATTCCATTTGCCACAATGTGATCAGGTTTACCTCTGGATAAAAATGGCGTCTCAGGAGCATCTAAAAGAGTGGTCATTTCTTGGCCAACCAATGGTGCACTCTCCCCTCCTTCAAACATTCCAAAAACATTTACCTTGTAGGTAGTGCCTGCCCTACAAGTGTAAGTAAATTAATTAAATAAATAAATAAATAATTTAATTAATAAACAAACAAAGGATATGGCAAATCAGTTTGGTCAGAATGCTGATGTTTTCACTAATAAATAAACTGGACCATTTAAAGTGGATTTGAATTGCTTTTTATATACCTTGCATGTAAAGCATGATCCCAGTTTCTATAGTAACTATTATTAAATTATGTGACATGGTATAGGCCAAATTATAAATCCATATACTGTACCCGGGTTTGCTTACATACCTCTTAACTTCAGTAAGAGTTTTTCTTAAGGTATCATCTGAGTGAGGTAGTAGGGACTTCACGATTTGGCCTTTTGTGATATTAACGTTAACTACAGGTTGAAACTCTCTAGTATAGTACTCTTTTGTCCAGCAATATCAGTGGTCCAACATGATTTTAGTTATCCAGATGTCCACTTATCATGGGTGTGGCCAAGTTTCCCATGATCCCATAAAGTTTGTTTACAGCCACCAGTCCTGGCTCTCAGTGTTCTGTGCTATTATTTAGCTCTCATTTACCCCTAAATGTCTTCTAAGAGCTCAATAAGCAGTGGAAGTGCTGGCAATGCTGCTAGATAATATCAACCACCCATGGTTTGGCAAATTCTGTGGT